AGAGAGAGAGAGAGAGAGAGAGAGAGAGAGAGAGAGAGAGAGAGAGAGAGAGAGAGAGAGAGAGAGAGAGAGATGACTGCTCAAGGGTGAGAAGGACGCAATAAATACCAGAGAACAATTGTGTTGTCCTTGAGAAAGCCACATGATTCAACAATCGACCGTTTGGCAAATCGACGGAATCCAACGAACCAACCAAGCTGCTCAAATACACATGGTTGATCTTTCGAAAATCTCCCCTTCACAAGATCGGGCAGTTCAATACCAGAAGTGTCAGGTCCACGACACGTGCGCTCAAGCACAGTAGCTGCTGCATCCCCAACCCCAAATCTGTCAATACTTTCAGAGACAGGTTCCACCATCTTTACTGTCTCGCGCGATAGCTCTTGATTGCATTGCTGTTGCTCAAGTCCATCCGCTGGGCCCGTAGAGAAATTGTCGATCATATCACAATTGTCATGTTCACCAGCCGGTGCCAACTTGTCTACATTTCCAATGTCCTTTTGCCAGTTATCCTTGGGATCTCCTTCAAAAAGTACTGTCTGCGATGTCTTGCCTTCTTCCACACCGCCTCCATTCTTGGGTGGAGGAAATTCTTGACAATCGACAAGCAATGCAGTGCATTGATGTGACTGGGGGGTCTGATTTTGGGTGCAGCACCGTGACTGGTTCTGATTTTTCCGGCAGCAATGAAAGTGGCTCTGAGTCTGGTTTTGCAGCCTGAAGGAATAGAGTGCTTTCACATTACGACCAGGACTCGCCAGTACAAGAAACATGGAAACGTAATCGAATGTTTCGATGGAATCTCCGTAGGGGTACACGATAACCACCCATTGGTGGCCTCCGGCGGCGAAAGGACGACTCGCAATGCAAGGAAAGGGGTTGTCCTGAGATGACCTGGACGTAGCTTTCTCGTTTCCTTTTCCCATTCCCGATGATATCGCACTTGTGCCGCTCCCACTGATGGAGTTAGTGATTTGGTAAACGATCATATCCGCAGAACCACAGAGGACTTTTTCAAACGTCAGCCTGCAATGCGTTGCTCCGTCATCTCCCACTGAGGGGGCGGCAGGGCAAGGGGGAGAAGGAACACTGGATCCTGACTGAAAGAAGCAAGCACATTAAAAAAAGGAAAAAGAAAGAAAGATGCAAGCGGATGTGCACATCAGCACCAGCAGCAGGAGCCAGAGGGAGACGGGGGAGACCGGGAGAAAGAAGAGGAGGAAGAGGAGGAAGAGGAGGAGCAGGAGGAAGAGGAGGAAGAGGAGGAGGATGTGACTCCCAAAGGACAACCAATCTAATGTTTCTCAAGGCATTGTTGAAATACAATCCATGATCAATCTAGAAATGTTTCTAGAACCGTTTCCACCACAATGTTCTTGAGCATTAATTGTTGGCTGACTCAGGGTGAGGTTAACTCATTGCTGGCGATCTGGGGAAGGCTCAGCGGTATCCTTGTTTTTCTTTTTTTCTTGGCAGCATCTGGTATATGTTCAGTATAAGGATTCTGCATCTGTGTGGAGAGAGAGAGAGAGAGAGAGAGAGAGAGAGAGA